TGCCGCGGGAGCCCCGCTCGGTGAGCGCAGCGGGGGTTGCAGGGGGCTGCGGGGGCTCCGTGGGCAGGGGGCGCGCTGGGGGGCTGCCCAGAGGACACGCCCGGAGCTGCCGGGGCCGAGGCTGCTCTCAGTCGGGGGCACCCTCTCCTGCCCGTCCCGGTGAGGCGTTGCGGCCGGGGTGGGTCCCTGACGCCCGTCCCCCAGTTTCTTTCACCAAATCCTACTTTGGGTCCCCAGTGATCTGGATCCAGGCCGACCCATTTATTGAGATCCCATCAAAGTTCGCGAATGTTCTCTGAGCTCAGTTTCCAGCTCTGGGTGATGGGAACAGTAGCCTCTCATGCTCAGGACTGCCAGAGTTCAGTGCCGCGGCGGCTGGGGTCAGCCCGGTGCTCAGCCGCGGCGCTCCCAGATGCAGAAGAGCTCTTAGTGGATTCATGCAGTCAGCTGCTACTCAGCACCTGCTCGGCCCAGCGCTGGTCCAGGTGCTGGGGGCACCGCAGTGAACAAGGCCCTCCTGGAGCACGTTTTCCGGTGCTTTGCCAAGGGCTCTGGCATCTGGTCTTTCATGACCACCCCCTGAGGTAGACGGAACACCAGGGTTATTTGGGTCCATTTTACAGCTGTGGATACCGAGGTGCAGTGAGGTTTTAAGGATTTTGCCTAAGGGCACACCCAGTCTTCATCACAAAAAGAAGCATCCCCATAGACTAGCAAGATGGTTCTGGTCCCAGAGACCAGTCCCCAGAACAGAGTCCTGGGTAGAGAAGGGCTCCACTGTGGGGCTGCATCCTTTCCCCTCCCTACAGAGGAATTAGACTCATCCCCTGTGATGACTCGGATTTGGGGTGTCTCCCCACTGTTAAACCCGTGAGTGCCAGTGTTTGTGCGGGGTGTGACTGGGTCCCTCACCTGGAACTTTGGAGTACAGGGCAGTGACAACGGAGACCGAAAGATACAGTCCCTATAGCTGTCAGGGTCCCTGCCCCATGACACCACCAGCAACAACAACCACGGGGCTCATCACTCAGTCACTCAGTGCCCATTCTTTTCTACAGCCAGTAGACATCATGCAGGGCAGAGACACCATCTCTGTATCCGCAGGGCCTGGCAAACGGCTGGCCCACCAGTCCTGGTTGCTGCCATGATTAATGATGATAATGATGAGGATCTGACCCCTGGTGCACGCCTTGTCCTCAGGTGGAGCAGGAGGTGGGGAGGGATGAAGATGGTGACAGTGACTGACAGCCTGGCTCGTTTGAAGTCTGGAGTGAGGAGAGCAGGACCCGCGGTCCTGGACCCCAGGGTTCACGCACCTGACCCTGAAGCCAGCAGAGGGCTTGGACAGACCTGTACTGCCAGCCACCTGCACGG